GGACTCTATAAGCAACTGATAGGACTGACCAAGAAGGCTATGAGAAGAGCTATTGGAAGAAAACTGTTATGGGGAAAGAACTCATGACGTTGATCGTGGAGATCAAGGGTGTACTGAATACCCAGCCGTTGATTTATGCTAACTCCGACTGCAAAATAATACGCCCAATCGATTTTATACACATCCTAGTGCCTCTTTAATTATCCCAACAGTTGATGACGACCAGGACGAATTCACAGGAAATCTTGATACAAGGGAAAGAATAATCAAATATTGGTTGGAGACGCTTAAGGTACTCGATATATTTTAGGAAGCATGGAAAAGGGAATACTTAACGAGCCTCAGGGAAGGAACACGTAAATCCTAAAAGCACAAGGATCGTAAGCCAAGAGATGAAGAAATTGTATTAGTGGATGAACCAGAGACTCCTCGAGGCTTGTGGAAGCTAGCAAGGATAAAAGAACTCAAAAAGGGTAGAGACGGAGTGACAAGAAGCGCACTGGTAGAGATGCCCAACGAGAAACTTCTCAACAGACCAGTAAATGCACTATACTTCTTGAAAAGAACTGCTGAAGAAAGTTCAAAAATTCAACCAAAAGCTTCTGAGAAACCAATGGAAAAACCAGATCAACACGAAGGACCTATAGCCTCAAGAACGAGGAATGCTACTCAAAGACAAATTCAAACACCGAAATTCAAAACAAAAAATATACCGGTATTATAATTCCTGAGGGCAATATTCTCTTTCAGTCGGGAATATCGGAAAAACTCCGAAAGTCATAACGCAAAATTTCTGTCGGATTACCAAAATTAAAACAATGAAGAAGAGAAGCAGAGAATCAATAATTGCTTTGATACTGCTGCTATTATGTATTGCATATGCGCCCATTGCGCCTTGTGTTCTGTTAAAGCCGCTAATTGTGATCATATATCTGACCTCACTGCTTTGCCGGAATATCTCTACTCCAGAAAAAAGAAGATCCTGAGTGCCAAATCATTTTGGAAAGATGCGTTTCAACAGGTCGGTTGATTAGAGGATATAGATGGATAGATGGTTGATAGATGGACGTCATTTGGTCTATGGTTTCTTCTTTTGTTTCAATCGATATTGTCATTGAATTTGTCTTATTGATATTATGATTATTGAATTCGTTTCTGTATTACCAACTCATAGGAATAAAGATTTAATTACCCAGGTTTGAGGTACTATCAGCTAAGGATGGAGTCTTTGTCACGGTTGAAGAAATTCGGCGAAATGACCCAATTCTTCAGAAATGACATTTTGCGAAGATGTGAACATCGATATACTGCAACTATACAATTAACTTCACTGAAATAATCGATAATGCTATCTATGAGTACTTACTTTTTTTGCTACGCGAAATAATTCTTTCTGTTTTTAAATTGATATTCAATTCCACCGGATAAAGTAGTGTTCACGTATACGGCACCCGAGAACTAGAAAATCAGTCAAACGATCAGTTCTATGCCTTCCATTTACACGAATTGTCTGGTAAATATTACCGGACTGAGCAATATCTAACAGCTTTTTCAACCTAACAATATACTGGTGCAAGCTTTAGTGTCAAATCAACATGATATTAGAAAGAAGCAAAATTCTGTGACGCATGGAAGCACGGTGTTGAAATTTGGTACTATAGTCGATGTCCTAATTATAATATATCATGAAAATGCGAGATACACGAGAACTGCTATGCAATGATTTTTATAACATGTAATGGATGGAATGAATAGATCAGAATGAGGTAATTCAAGTTTCAGATTTTAAGTCATTCTTACTGAGAAATATTGGAAGTCTTTGACACTAATTATCCGTTTAAAAAAATTTGCAACAATATTTCGCCGTCGGGGTCGTACTTTGTTATAGATGACGTAAATCAGCACATGAACGTGTCCGCCAATTGTGATTTTTCAAACAGAATAGCAACACTTATTTATAGTAAGAAAACAGGACGAGATGACAGTTTAGCGTAAAATGTTCCTTGACTTACAAAGTGTTTACTTACAAAGAATTGAAATTCATTTTGACAGTTGCTTAAATGGCATAATGCAAGCACTGTGGTCCTTTTTTCTGAACATAACAA